GGAATGTGTGGGGGCCCAGGTAAAGTCGTTGGGCAGGAAATGCAGGACAGAACAACAGGAAATACTTATTTTCACAAGGCGTGACCAAAACAGGGAATTCCCTGCATACAGAGGGAGGCTCTGAAAGGGAGCCAGATTCAGGGAGGACAGCTCCATCCGCGGCCACCAGCCGTGGTGACTCAAGGGGAACCTCCACGTTCAGAGGCAGTCAGCCCCTGAATCCCAGGGCCAGGAGGCAACATCAGGGGAAGGACTAAATGGGCCACTGGCCTGTTCCAGCAGGGCTCTTTTTGTGATGGAGGAGGAGGAGGAGTTGATTTCACACCCCGCCCTTCCCTCGGAGTCTCAGAGCGGCTTAGAGTCTTCTTTCCCTCCCCCTCCCCACACCCCCCTGTGAGGTCCATGGGGCTGAGAGAGCTCTGACAGAAACTGCCCTTGAGAGACCTGCTCTGACAGAACGTATGACCAACCCAAGGCCACTCAGCTGGCGGCTTGTGGAGGAGGAGTGGGGAATCAAGCCCGGTGCTCCCAGATTAGACTCCGCTGCTCTTAACCACTGCCCCAAACTGGCTCTCCCCCATGACTCCGTGGACCAAAGGGAAGACTTCCCCTTCTGTGAAGAGCCCCCCCCCGCCATTCAGCGCCGCCACCACAGGGCTCCCGGGGGGGCTGGGCCCATCGCTCTGGAAGGCGGAGTCCCGGCGTTGCGCTGCTCCTCCAGGATGGCTTCCAGGCGCTGCGTAATCTCCAGGAAGGAAGGCCGGGCGGTGGGCTCCATCTGGAGGGGGGAGAAGGGGGGGCAGCCTTAGCGGTGGCCCCTGGGTCCGGGGGGGGGGAAGCAGGGCTCCCCACCCAAGTGTCCCACCCGGCCCAGGGCCGCTCTGGAGTGTCTCAGGGGGCAAAGATCTCCTACCTGACCTCCGTCTTCTGGAAGCACCAAGGCCGGAGGGGGTTCACGGAATGAGAGCCCCGCCAGGGAGCCCAGCAGGACTTCCCTCCAGCTGTGTGTGGGGGGGGACACTGAGCAGCAGCAGCAGCAGCAGGCCTGAGCAAGGACGCCACACTCCCGCGGGTGGCAGAGGGAAGCTGACAGGGACAGCTTTTGGGACACCCTCGGTCCCTCCCCTGCGGCTTCCGGGGTGGCTCCACTGCTCTTGAGTCGTCCGTCCATCCCCCCCCCCAAGACAGCAGAGGAGCCAGAAGGGAAGAGAAGAGTCATATGAGAGACTCTGCGATTAAGACGTTCCAAAATCCAGCCCGTCAGAGAGGCACACTCACTTGCCACAGAGGGTGCCCGAAAACCAAACCTCCGCTGCAGGAGATGGCCTTTCACTCCCAACAGCTTGCTCCCGTTGCCACGCTCAGGGATCCAAGGGCTTCGAAACCGCACCTTGAAGGTCGGCCCCGAGAAAGCCTTCCCCTCTCCTTGCCTGGCAGCCGGCTTCCCGGTGGGCGGGCGCCAAAGTGCCTACGCCTAAGCCCCTCAAGGGTGCCCGGCCAGGCACAAAGTGCAGCTGGAGAGGACCACCCACCCACTGAAGGCCGAGCGGTGTGGGGGGTCCCCAGTCACCCACAGAGGCTTCCTTCTCTGTGACGGGCTCTTCCTCTCGGACTAGCTACAGAGTCCCTCTTTCTGCAGCTCATCAAAATCCTGGATTTCAGTCCACCTGAAGCCAGTGTTTGGCTCTCATCAGACATGGCCAGAAATGCTAGTCTCTCCAGGGGGGAGCCAGCATGGCTGAACAGAAAGGCTCTAGCAGAGAGCAGGACAGAGAAGACCAGGAGAGACTTCCTAACTTCCTAGCTGTCAGAGAGTCATTGAGCGGTGGAACAGTCTGCCTCGGGAGGTGGTGGAGGCTCCTTCGCTGGACGGCCCTCTTTCAGGTCTGTTGTAGGGCTCTCTTTCGGCTGTGCTCCTGCAGAGTTGCAGGGGGTTGGACTGGATGACCTGCAGGGTCCCTTCCAACTCTAACATTCTACGATTCTAAGACGTCTCTGGCCACACCCTGAGGACCGGAAGCCTGACGCTCTGCCTGGGAAGACTCTGGCCAGCAGGCAGGGTAGGAAGGCACGAATCCTTTCACAAATACCTTTCACAAAAAACCAGCTTTTGATTTCTAAACCTCAAATGGTGCCCTTGGCTGAACTGCAGCCACACGGTCCTTGCGCCCACCCGGTGGGACTCCTCTGACTCCTGGAGTAGGTGGCCTTACGAAAGACATCATGGGCGGTGCCAAAAGAGGACGGGGCAAGGAGCTCCGGGTGCCTGAAACTGAAGGTGGCGAAAGCTCCAAGGGTGAGGTTGGTTTGGACCCTCGGGGGAGGGGGTCTCATCTGTGAGTGCAGGCATCTCTAGCTGCAAAGCCAGCACACACACACAAACACACAACCCCCCAGAGCAAGCGAGAACTTACGCTGCAGCAATGAAAAGCCAACTGGAGGAAAGGCACCGGGCAGTCGACTCCCACCAGGGTGCAGAAGGCAGCCACGTCCAGCCCAAAGTCCTGCAGCAGGCAAGAGAAGGGAGGGGAGGGGGAGAGAGAGAGGAGAGTGAAGGGTCTGTGCGACGGCCAGGCCAGGACACAGGCAGGACCCGGGCAGGCACGGATCACAGGCCACCACAGGACACGGCCACGGCCTTATACGGCTGGAAGAGCAGGTTAGCCAAATTTGCACAGCAGCGGGTCTATCAGTTATTTATTTAGCTTCTTTTGTAATTTGCCATTCTCACTGAGACTTGAGGCGGATTACCCAGCGTCAGTCAGTGTAGTCAAGAGGATGGGCTATGCAGGAAACAAAGGAATACAGTTTGGAACGCAGAACAAACTTTGCATCTAGGGGCACCTTTAAGACCAACAAAGTTTAATTTTGGGTATACGTATGCATGCCCACAAAAGTGTGCAAGCCCATGAAAGCTTGTACCCAGAATTGAACATGTTGGTCTTAAAGGTGCCCCTGGGCTCAAAGGTGCCCCTGGGCTCAGACTTTGTTCTGCTGCTTCAGACCAACCCGGCGACCCGTTTGGATTGCAGAAACCTGAAACGGTCCTGAATCAAAGCATCAGCTCACATGAGCACACAGGAAGCTGCCTCATACTCATTCAGACCACCGGTCCTCCCTTGAAGTCAGTATTGTCTACTCAGGCCATTTACAAACCATCTGCGGGTGAGCCAAATAAAGCCAAGCCCTGTAACTCGGGGCGCACACCTGGGCCAGGTGTGTCTCTCCCCATATAATGGCCCTCTCTGCAATGCACGATGCGGCCACACGGTGGCACTCCCTTCTCAGCAGAAGCAGGTTTATTGTGGCTGTTCTTTCCAGCCCTCGCCTGCCGCCGCCGCCCTGGTATCCTCTTTCGCCTGCCACAACATCCACCTCATACTGGCACAAAAAGGTCTTTAACGTCACGGCCCAAATATGCTCCCCCCCCCTTAAATTTTGCAGCAGCTGGGGAAGGGTTCTGGGGAAGTCGGAAGCTTGCGCCCTTCTACGTTTTGCTGCCTGGGTCCTCCAAATGGATGGTGTCACACCAATTGTGTTCTCGGGTTCCGGGAGACCCTGGAAGGAGAAGGGCCTGGGTGAAGTCCCCTCTGCCCGCCCGCCCGCTGGCCAAGCCCTGTGTGGGGCCCAGGCAAATACCCACCATGCCAGCAGAGACCAGGAAACAGTGTCGGCAAAGTGTTTCTATACCTGCTGAGGGGCGGAGGGGGGAAGCTTGAGGTTCACATGGGAGCAGGCCACCCATCCAAGGGCCCCGGCGGTAGCCCCACAGCTCCCGGATTTCTGGGCTGTGGCAGCCATTCGAGACAGGAGGCAGATGGGGAGGGGAGGGCAATGCCGGTCTCCCCGAGCTCTCTCGTGCCGGGTGCTGCCAGGCAAGCCTCTGCTCACGGGTGGCGCCCAGGAAAGGCTCGTCCCGTCCTGCCTCCAAGGGGACTTCCGCAGTTCCACTTTCCTTAGTCTGTCGTCCCAAAAACCCTGCGGCTGGGAGGGGAGTCACCCAAGGGATTTCCTGGCGGGGCACGATCTGAACCCAGATCCCTTGGGTCACAGGCTGACACTTCAACCACTGCACCACACTGGCTCTTGGAAGCACCAGGAGGCGCCAGGGACTGTTCCGCCAGTCATTCTGGAAACACCCGCTCTCCCTACCCAGCCTTAATGGTGCCCCGCGCGCCAGCGTGCAATTAAGAGGTAGCCAGGCTGCACCAACGAGGCCATGGCCCAGCGCCAAGCTGGGCGAGTAGGCAGCAGCTGCCGGGCCAACCAACAGGCCAGGAGCTCTTTGCACACACGCACACACACCCACAAGGGAATTCGGGAGGAGTCGCACACCGTGCCTTCCTCTCGGCCACCAGCCAAAGCCCAAAGCCCTTCCAGATGAAGCATATAAAAAATCCCACTGGGGCGGCATGTCAAACAGTTCCAAGGACAGCCCGGCCTCGCCAGCTTCTCTGAGCAGTGAACAAGCACATGGATATTCCAGAAGACCTTTGACAAGGCACCTTACCAAAGACTCCCAAGTAAACTTAGCGACCGTGGGAGAAGAGGACGGGTTCTCTTGTGGATGGGAAACTGGTAAAATGGCGGGAAGCAAAGACTGGGAGTCCACGGACAGTTTCACAACGGCGGGAAGTCAGCAGCAGCAGCGGGGTCCCACAAGGATCGGGACTGGGGCCGGTACCAAGGCTCCCGCTAAGCGGTGGAGTCTCGTGAGCAAAAATTCTACTTGGTGAGCCGCTGGCATTCAAGTTGTGAGCGAGCGATGTGGCTACTGCATAAATTAGTTTGCTCTGGAGCCACATCCTTCCTGAGCGAAGACGAAAATGTATGAGACGGAGGCCAAAAAACTGTGAGCTAGCTCACACTCAATCAGCTTAGAGGGAACACTGGGCCCGGTACTATTTAATTCATTCATCAGTGATCTGGAACTAGGGGTGAGCATCATAGTGGCCAAGTTTGCAGATGACACCAAATTCTTCAGGACGGTGAAAACCAACGTCGACTATGAAGAGCTACGGGGCGATCTCTCTAAATTGAGTGTGTGTGTGGGGGGGGTATCCACGTGGCAAGTGGAGTGAATCGTTGGTTAGGGTGTACAGCAATACACAATGGAACAAAAAATCCAGGCTTCAAATATATGTTGATGGGGTCTGAACTGGCTGAGGCTGAGAGGGGAAAAGATCTTGGGTTGTGGTGGAAAGTTGGATGGAAATGTTAACCTGGTGTGCAGCAACAGTGCCAAAGGCAGACTCATGCTGGGAATTATTGGGGAAAGGATTGAAAGTAAAACAGCCAATATTGTTGTGCCTTGTGCAGAGCAATGGTGCCCACGGTCTAGTATTTCACTGCGTCTAATACTAGAACTCAGGGGCACTTGGATGACATTGTGGGCAAATAGGATCAGGACAGACAAAAGGAATTACTTTCTTACTCAAAGAGAAATTAAACTGTGCCGTTCACTGCCAGTCAAGCTAGTGATGGCCAGATTTAAAGGATGGATGAGGGTCAGACCGATGCGTGTCGGAGAGGCCCACCAGTGCCTGCTAGCCCGTCCTGACTAAAGGGCATCTCCCCATTCAGAGACAGGAAGCCTCGGGATCCCCGTGCCCAGAGGCCACAGCGGGGGAGGCAGGCCTTGGCCTCCGTGGCCTGCTGGCTTGGCCCTCCAGGGCAACTTTCGCTTGGAGAAACGTCGACTGAGGGGAGACATGATTGAGGTTTATAAGATGATGCATGGGATAGAGTAGGTGGAGAGAGAGGTACTTTTCTCCCTTTCTCACAATACAAGAACTCGTGGGCACTCCATGAAATTGCTGAGCAGTTGGGTTAGAATGGATAAAAGGAAGTCCTTCTTCACCCAAAGAGTGATTAACACATGGAATTCACTGCCACGGGAAGTGGTGGCGGCGACAAGCATGGACGGCTTCAAAAGGGAATTAGATAAGCATATGGAGCAGAGGTCCATCAGTGGCTATTAGCCACAAGGTATAGATAGGGGCTCTGGGGCAAGTGATGCTCTGTCTTCTTGGTGCTTGGGGGGAGGGCAACAGTGGGAGGGCTTCTAATGTCCTGGCCCCACTGGTGGACCTCCTGATGGCCCCTGGTGTTTTTGGCCACTGTGTGACACAGAGTGTTGGACTGGATGGGCCTTTGGCCTGATCCAACATTGGCGTCTCTTATGTTCTTAACTGCTTGGCTGCCATGGGGAACTGGAGACTGACCTAGATGAACCAGTGGGCTTATGCCAAGTTCCCTTGACGAGGGAGAAGTCATTGTACAAAGCACTTTACAACTGTGCCTTTTATTCACACAGCAGAGCACTGTCGTGTGCACAGAAAGGGGCTTACAACTTGCTCCACACATGAGAGGAGATAAATGGAGAGTCTCAGTTTACTTTCCACCATTAGAAAAGATACCTTTACACATTTATCTCCTATTCTGACATGTTTAGGGCTTTACTGTTTCCCCCCTTAATTAGATCAAAACAAATCTTGACCTGACAACCTTAGCTTGTTGTTTAGTTTTGTCTTTGCGTATCTTAAAACATCTTCATCATGTTACATGCTAATTTGCTGCTCCGCCTCTGTCTAGAAGTTTGAACTCTGCCTTCCATTCCAATGCATTTGGGGAAAGTGTGCCTTGCACACAAAGGGAATAAACCTTTGTGGGTCTTAAAAGGTGCCTGGCTGGACTCTAAAATTTGTTCCGCTTGCTCAGGATGAGCCCCCACTGATGTGATGAGGGGAAGGGAGAGGCTGTGGCTCAGTGGCAGAGCACCAGCTTGGCCTGCAGAAGGTCCCAGGTTCAATCCCTGGCACCTCCAATTGAGAGCCAGTTTGGTGTAGTGGTTACGTGCACGGACTCTACTCTGGGAGAGCCAGGTTGGATTCCCCACTCCTCCTCCACTTGCACCTGCTGGATGACCTTGGGCAAGCCGTAGTTCTGGCAAGAGCTGTCCTTGAAAAAGAGCAGTTTCCGACAGAGCTCTCTCAGCTCCAACCACCTCACAGGGTGTGTGTCTGTTGTGGGGAGGGGGAGGGAAAGGAGTTTGTCAGCCGCTCTGAGACTCCTTTGGGTAGTGAAGGGCGGGGTATAAATCCAATCTCTTCTCCTCTTCTTCTTTTAAAAGGACCTGGCAGGAGGTGACGGTTTCTGTGACCAAGACCCTGGAGAGCTGCTGCCAGCCTGAGTAGACCAGACTGCCCTTGCTGGACCAAGGGGGGGGGGGTCTGACTCAGTAGGTGGCAGCTTCAGGTGTATTCATCAGAAGTACAAATATTAGCGAGGGGGTCCCTGATGCAATCCCCACATTTCCAGTTGAAAGGATCAGGTAGGAAGTGATGCGAAGGAACTCTGCCTGAGGCGACACCCCGGAGAGCGGCTGCCAGCCTGAGCAGGCAAGCCTGACCTTGATGGACCGAGAAGGGTCTGACTCAGTAGGTGGCGGCTTCATGTGTGTTCATGAGAAGGAGCCACGGGGGAAGGCCATACAGGACTCTGCACCGGGGGGGGGGGATTCCGCCACGCCCCTGCCCTGCCTTCTCTGTCCACATCAGCTCATTCCACGCATGGATCCTCCAGCCGGACAAGACCAAGCCCTCCCCCCCACACACACACTCTGTCTAGGCTGCAGGAACCAGCAACCAGTGTTCCCTCTAAGCTGAGTTGGTGTGAGCTAGCTCACAGTTTTTTAGCCTCCGGCTCACACATTTTGGTCTTAGCTCAAGAAGGATGGCTCCAGAGCAGACTGATTTAAAAAATAAGAACATAAGAGATGCCAATATTGGATCAGGCCAAAGGCCCATCCAGTCCAACACTCTGTGTCACACAGTGGCCAGAAATACCAGGTGCCATCAGGAGGCCCAGCAGTGGGGCCAGGACACCAGAAGCCCCTCCCGCTGTTGACCCCCCCCCCCAAGCACCGAGAAGACAGAGCATCACTTGCCCCAGAGCCCCTATCTGTACCTTGTGGCTAAGAGCCACTAATGGACCTCTGCTCCATATGCTTATCTAATTCCCTCTTGAAGCTGTCCATGCTTGTAGCTGCCACCAAGAGCTCCCGGGGTCGGAGGCTGCATTATGCAGCATTTTATGCAGGGATTTATGCAGCAGCTGAATCGCTCACTCACAACTTTAATGCCAGGAGCTCATAAAGTAGAATTTCTGCTCACAAGACTCCAGAGCTTAGAGGGAGAGCATTGCCAGCAAGGCCGCCACTCGACCCTCCCTCCTCTCCTGGAAAATGTAATTATCTGCCCAGGTCTCCGGGGGAGGAAGGAGTAATTGGATGCGACTTTATCTGCATGGTGGCTGGATCTCTGGAGGGGGGGCAGCCTCTTCAGGGGGAAGGGGAGGGAGGAGCCCTGTGCTGACCAACCCCCCCCCCCCCACAACATAAACAGCTTGGCCTGGGCTGGGCACCAGCGCTGGCCCCCCTGGCTCCAGTTTCCTCAGCAGGCTTAGCTCCGGCCGAGTGTGAACGGCACAAACGCAGTGCCTCCGGAACAAGGGAACCAGCGCCTGTCACCGCGGAGCACCCGTCCTTCCCCTGGAGACTCACCCACATCCAGCGTCACGAAGGCCCCGTGCCCGGAGAGGCCTGTCCTGTGGGGGGCCCAGGTGACTTGGGTCCAAGACTCTTCCACGGGGCCGGGCTCGGGGCAGGGGGCGACGTGACTCAGCCCAAGCTCCCGGGGTCGGAGGCTGCCTTATCGAGAGCAAGCGGCACCAGCAGTGACGTTCTGTGGGGTTCGGGTGAGGCCGAGGCAGGACCCGGGAAGAGGATCTTACCTCCGTGCGGGGCAAGTAGTCGGGGTCAGCCGGCACCCTGGCAAGGACCTCGCAGAGGATGATGCCATAGGCAAAGACGTCAGCCTAGGTGGGGGCGGAGAGAGAGAGGAGGCCGTGAGAGGCAGGCCCCGCCCCTCGCAGCAGAAGGTGCCACAGAGCCCTGGCCAGAGCAGGGGAACGGGGGGGGGAGCATCTCTCGCCCCCCCCTCCGCCCCCTCACACCGATGGCCAGGCCCAAATCTTGCTCCCACCCCCAACCCGGAAGGCACCCCTCCCCTTGAACAGGCCCCCCTGCCCCCCGTTACCTTCTCATTGTACAGCTCCCCACGCAGCACCTCGGGGGCCATCCAGTACGGGGAGCCCACCACGGCCAGGGGCTCCTTCTCACCGCCCTCGCTGGGGGAGAAACAGAAACGTCAGCGCAAAGCCCTCCGCCTCGAGGTCGGGGCAGCCACGGCAGGGAAGGCGCGGCAGCTGGGGGGGGCAGGGCGGAGAAATGTGCTTTACTCTGGAGGTTCGGACTGTACAAAACCTTCACCTTCAAGAGCTTTCCCCGTCTCTTAGCGGAGAAGAGGCAGGAAGGGGGAAACCCAGCCACAGGCAAGGAGGTGGCCAGCTCACACCTCTGGCAGTGACACCCAGCCGGGGAGAGCGCTCCGGGAGGTTTCAGATGCTCAGAAGTCTCTTCCTGGAGACTTGAGAAAAGGCTTCTGGGACCCACACAAGGGTGGGCAAAGAGAGATAACAGAGCCCCTTGGGGTGGAGGGGGAAGGCCTCTTTGGCTGCCTCCATCTAGGAGGACGGAGCTCTCCCATCGGGGCTTCTGCCGAAGGCCCCCATGGCCACGTGTGGCTGCAGGCCAAAACAAAGACTCCGAGGTAATGGGAATCATAAAATAATTATTATCGTACGGCAATGTGCGTAGAATAGCCAGGAGAACTGAAGATTGTCTGGCAGCCCCAAGTTCTAGCTCTTAGCGTTGTGCTAGTGGTGAGCTAGGCTTGCTTTTTAGGGGCTGAGCGAGCTCCGAGAGAGCTGTGACTGACCCAAGGTCACCCAGCTGGCTTCATGTGGAGGAGGAGAGGGGAAATCGAACCTGGTTCTCCAGATTACAGTCCGCCACTCTTAACTACTATGCCAAAGTGGCTTTCGGTAATGAGAAGCTTTTAAAACTCAGTAACTGCTAGGTTAAAAGGCCTTGGTGCTTGGGGGGGGGATCAACAGTGGGAGGGCTCCTAGTGCCCTGGCCCCACTGCTGGAACTCCTGGTGGCCCCTGGTGTTTCTGGCCACTGTGTGACACAGAGAGTGTTGGACTGGATGGGCCTTTGGCCTGATCTAACATTGGCGTCTCTTATGCCTTAGAGTAACATCAGCTAGGGCTTGTCTGGGGTGAGGGACAGAAGGACTTGCGCACTGGGGGTGGTCCCTTGTTCGGTCTGTTGCTGTGCCAAGAGTATGTGTGTGTGGACATTTTTTAAAAAAATAAATGCTTTTATAATTTCTTTATGCGGGTAGTTGATTCTCTGTACCACACAGACCTCCACTGTTCAAACATGCTGTTTGAAATGGGGGAGGGGGAGAGTCAACTGGCCAGCTGACAATCCCCCAGTGGTGCGCAAGGGCCGTAAACCATCCCTGCGAACAACCGGAGCCGGGCCATGGGAGATGGCAGCACGAGGCGGGGCCCCTGAGGAGCAAGGCAGAGAAGGGAAGCTGCCCTTACCTGCTCCTCTCAGTGGGTGACTCCTGCTAGGGCCGGGGTGGTGGTGGTGGTGGCAGTGGGAGTGCCCAAAGAGGGAGAGGAAAGCCCCCCCGAGGGCCAGGAAAGCCGGGAGAGGAGCCTGCTGGTGCCACCCCAGGGAGGGGGGGAGGCAGAGCGGGGCCTGTGGGGCAGAAGGGCTGTTCCGCCACAGGCAGGGCCCTCACAGCTCACCTGTAGGTGGGGATCTTCTCAGCCAGGCCAAAGTCGCCCACGACGGCCGTGTAGCCGTTGTCGTCACATTTCACCAGGCAGTTCTGGAAGAAGAAGAAGAAGAAGAACACACACCATGAGGGTCGTCTCCCCCAGCCACAAAGCGGCCTCCCCTGCCTAGGAGAGGCCTTGCAGGAGCAGCAGGCGGGGGGGAGGGGGAGGAAAGGGGGCTGACCTTCCCAGCAGCAGCAGCGGCAGCAGCAGCCCTACCTTGGAGGTGAGGTCCCGGTGGAAGATGCCCTTGCTGTGGAGGTAGCGCAGGCCCCGGGCGATGTCCAGGGCCAGCTTGCCCCGCACGGGCCAGGGCAGAGGGGCGGGGCTGTCCAGCAGCTGCTCCAGGTTCCCACCGTTGATGTACTGGAGGGAGACAGGCCCCAAAGGAGACCCTCAGGCACAGCGGCCACCAGCAGCCCGCCTCGCCTCTCTCCCCACCCCTGAAACTCTCCAACCCAGCCGCAGCCACCGGAGGAAGAGGGAAGCACAAGAAGAAGAACTGGATTTATACCCCGCCCTTAAGAGCAGCTTACAACCACCTTCCCTTCCTTTCTCCCCACAGCAGACACCCTGTGAGGTAGGTGGGGCTGAGAGAGCTCTGAGGGCACTGTGACTGACCCAAGGTCACCCAGCTGGCTGCATGTGGAGGAGGAGGAGTGGGGAATGAGGCCAATTCTCCAGATTAGAGTCCGCCGCTCTTAACCACTCTACACCAAACTGGCTCTCGTTTCTCTTTTTTTCTTGGAAGAGTCTTGTGGCATCTTTATTACTTTGGATACCCCAGCAGAGGTTGTTCCCAGGAACAGCAATGCCAATGTTTTCCCACAAGGGGGCATTAGTCCTATTTGACATCAGGACTCCACAGACAGTAATCAAGCATATTTTAAAAGCTCTAACCAGAAGGAAAAAAATCAGTCTATAAACAGACTTTGTTTCCGGTCGTCCAGGACTAGCAAAAGGAACCCAAGACTGGAGCCACTGACAGGACTTGGTCCCGGCTAAAGGTTTTTTTGGAGGGGGGGTCGGGTCTAATTCAGAGTGTTCCGTAGACACGGCTCTTTGAACCCTCCTGTGTGAATGCACAGTAACTATTCCTTCCACCTGACTCCATTAAAGTAGCAGGATTCCTTTGCTCAGGGTGGGCAGCGCAAGCCGCAGAGATGGGGGAAAGGCCCCAAATAAGACCCAGGTGCCGAGGCTCTCCTGCAGCCGAGAGGGAGAAAGAGAATTTCTCTCCACGCAGCACACCATTCTCCTCCTGCCTCGCCAACTAGGCTTAGAGAACAGAGAAGGCAAAACAAACTTGGCATGGTCTCAGCTACACGACAGATACAGTTGCCACTTCACGTCACCTGCAGTGGCTTCCTGCAGTGGCCAGAGGAAGAGACGCCCCAACCTCTCCATATCTGGTTTTTTTAAAAGAAATCCTGACGGGAGGCCGGTTCCAGCCCTCCCTCCCCACGGCCCAAGCCCCGGCGCAACTCTCACCTCCGTCAGCGCATGCAGCTGGCCCTGGTGCACGCAGACGCCCATGAACCTGGGGAAGGAGGAGAGCAAAGAGGTCAGGAAGGAGACACCTCCGCAGAATGGCCACCAGGGACCTCTGCCGCACCTGAGCCCTCTGCAGAGGGAGCTCCCCTCCCCAGGCCCGGGGCGGGATGCGAAGGTCTCACCCCTCAGCCAGGGTTCTGGAACACGACATTGCTGAGGGTTGAGGGAGTCAGGAGCAAGAGGGAGCAAAAGTTCCAAGGTTCTTTTATTCTGAGGTTCCCCGGCCTCTCGGTGCTCTGCTTTCCACCGGTGGGCTGGCAGAGCAGTTAGTGTGCTGGCTAGGAATACTTTGCTTGTACCCACAGGGCTGACCTGATGCACCAAGAATGCTGGGAAACGCACACATTCTCCAACACAGAGAGGCAGACAATGGCACGAAAGGGAAGACACCCAAGTTCAATTTGCCCAAGGGAGAAATGAAATCTGTGGGGGATTTGGGGCGTCAAATCTGCAGAAATGAGAGACCTGGAGTCCTCTTCATAAACAGGACTAGGCCGGAAGAGGAGCATTTCCTGCCGCATTCGCTGGGTCAAATCTCTCCCCCGCCCGGCCCCTTCCCAGCACAGCGAGCTGCAAGCCCCCCCTGCTCTGATATCCACCCCACCCACCCCCCAAGCTCACCGGAGGATGTTGGGGTGCGAGAGGCGGTTCATGAGCTGCACCTCACGCAGCATGTTGCCTCGGTTGCTCATCAGCTTGTTCATCTTCAGCACCATGATCTGGCCGGACTGTCGGTGCCGCACCTGCGGGGAAGGGCAGGGGGTGGGTCCGGAGGGCCACCAGCAGCACCCTCTCTCCACCCGCCAGGCCTGCAGGGAGGGCATCTGGCCCTTCTAGACTGACAGCTCCCTTTTCTCCCCTGCCGGGACTCACAGCAGCTTCGGAGCATGGATCGCCCGTCCCCCCTTCTCTCACCACCACCACCGCCACCCTGTGAGGTGAGCAAGGCTGAGAGTTTGGGGCGGGCACAAGGTCACCATCGCGAGCTTCCACTGTAGAAGTGAGGATTCATACTGAACATTAAAAGAACATGAGAGAAGCCATGTTGGATCAGCGGCCCCTCCTGTCCAACGTTGTGTGTCACACAGTGCTCAAAAACCAGGCGCCATCACAAAGTTCACCAGCAGTGGGGCCAGAACTCCAGAAGCCCCTCCCACTGCGGCCCCCCCAAGCACCAAGAAGACAGAGCATCACTGCCCCAGACATAAGAACATAAGAGAAGCCATACTGGACCTGCGGCCCATCCAGTCCAACATTGTGTGTCACACAGTGGCCAAAAACCAGGCGCCATCACGAAGTTCACCAGCAGTGGGGCCAGAACTCCAGAAGCCCCTCCCACAGTGGACCCCCATCACTGCCCCAGACAGAGTGTTCCCTCTATACCAGGGGGGTCAAACATGTGGCCCAGGGGGCGGATCCGGCCCCCAGAGGGCTTCTATCCGGCCTGCACTGGAACTGGCCATCTCCTCCTTCCAGTTCTGTTGTTGCTGCTGCATCATAGCTTACTTTGCCAGACTCTCCCAATCACTCAGCCATTTCATGTTTTCCCCTGATCATGAGATTTCTGTGGTGAATGCCAATAAATCAAAAGTAGGTTTGCAGCTGACAGATACACACTCAAGATTGCAACAGCACAGACATTTTGATGCAATAATTCAGAGCAAGGGGTGTCAGTTATCAGATACTGTTAAGTAAACAAAATATTACAAGATGTTTTAAGCATGTTTTTATTTTAAGTAAAAAAAAATATCTTTGTGTTTGTGTCCTTTATAAAGTTTATATCTCCGCTACCTGGCATTACATTTTATGACATACGTGGCCCGGCCCAACAAGGTCTCATTTATATCAGATCTGGCCCTCATAACAAATGAATTCGACACCCCTGCTCTATACCTTCGGCTAACAGCTACTGTTGGACCTCTGCTCCATATGTTCCTCCAGTCCCCTCTTAAAGCTCTCTATGCTTAGAGCTGCTACCACTTCCTGCGGCAGTGAATTCCACGTGTTAATCCCTCTTTGGGTGAAGAGCCACTTCCTTTGATCCGTTCTAACCCGACTGCTCGTCCATTTCATGGAGTGCCCACGAGTTCTTGTATTGCAAGAAAGGAAGAAAAGTACTTTTTCTCTACCTTCTCTATCCCATGCATACTTTTGTAAACCTCTGTCATGTCACCCCTCAATCGTCATTTCTCCAAGCTACAGAATGTCAGCTAGCTGCCATGCTTTCATTGTTTTCGTCTGTAGCGCATGAGCGCATGCTTGCTTGGCTTAACTGCTGTAAACAACTATCAGGAGGCGCTCATGAGACTGTGCGAACTGGCCGAGCCAGACTGTGGTATCTGCTTAACCTTGTGGAGGAGGGAGGGCTTGCGTTCCACTGCCGGTGTGAATATTTCTGCTCTCATGGTGCACGGAGAGTCTCCCGATCAGGACGTAATATCCCGCCGGGAGACTTCCCGCTCGTGCGCTTGGATTTCATTTGCTTAGCCCATTGCAGCATCAGGGTGTTATGTATTGATGCCTCAGCCTTCACAGTTATTCCTAACAATGTACCTGTATAAGCTGGCAACAGACCTGTAGTCTAATAAAACATAATGATTCCTTGGAACGTGTGTGGAGATTTGCATGCTGTTGATCCTGACACCGAGCCCTGACCTCTTCGACCTTTCTTCACAGGGAAGGGGTTCCATCCCTTTAATTATTCTAGTGGCCCTTTTCTGCACTTTTCTCCAATGCTATGATATCTTTTTTGAGGTGTGGTGACCAGAACTGTGCACAGTACTCCAAATGAGGCTGCACCATAGTTTTATAGAGAGACATTATGATACTGGCTGATTTGTTTTCACTTCACTTCCTAATGATCCCCAGCATAGCGTTAGCCTTTTTTTATTGCAGTCACACACTGTCTAGATATTTTCATTGCGTTATCTACTACGACTCCAAGATCTCTCTCTTGGTCAGTCTCTGCCAGTTTGGACCCCATCGACGTGTATTTATAGTTAGGATTTCTGGCTCCGATGGGCATCACTTTGCACTTGCCCATGTTGAACCCCATTTGCCACACTGATGCCCACTTGCCCAGCCTCAACAGATCCTCCTGGAGCGCCTCACAGTCCTCCCTGGTTCTCACCGCCCTGAACAACTTAGTGCCATCTGCACGCTCAACCACTTCACCGCCTCCTCCCAACCCCAAATCTACCGGGGTGGCGCAGGGTCCCACCAGTCTGGCGCACCGTCCACTCTCCCCACCACACCAGCTGCCAATGGCAACCCACAAGAGGCTGCCTGATCCGATCTAGGGCAGGCTCTTCCCCCAGGCCAGGGTGACAGAGACCATCTGGAGGCCTGGGCAGAGTTGCCACACTCGGCTCCATCTCACACTTCTAGCAGATCCGGAGGAGGAGGAGGAGGCGGAAACTGTGAACGGGTGCCTGGAGGCGGTTTTGGTGTGGGTGGAGGCTAACAAGCTAAAACTTTATCCCGAGAAAATGGAGGTGCTGCTGGTAGGGGGAAGGTCTGACCCAGGAACTGGGATGTCCCCTGTTGTGAATCGGGTTGCCCTTTCCCTCAGTGAGAAGGTCTGTCTGTACCCAGGGGGTGCTGCTGGACCAGAGCATCCTGTCCGATAAACAGGTGCCAGTGGTGGCCGGGGTTCTCTTTCAAGAGCTGCAGCCCTTCCTGGGCAGGAAAGGTCTTGCCACTGTGGCGTGTGCCCTGGTAACATCTAGACTACTGCAATGCACTCTACATGGGACTGCCCTTGAAGACTGCCTAGAAGCTACTGTTGGTACAGAATGCCCCAGCCAGAGTGTTGACTGGAGTGGACTGTAGGGAATGTATCACTCCAGTCTTTTCCCACCTGCACTGACTTCCAATCTGCTTCTGGCCCAATCTACGGTGCTGGTATTGACCTTTAAAGCCCTGTATGGGTGGGACTAGCACGCCTGGAGGGGGCCGCCTTCTCCCTCAGGGACCTGCATGTCCACTCTGGTCATCTTCAGAGGCTCTGCTCTGGGCGCCCCCACCATCCAAGGCTAGACTGGGGGCAACCCGCAAAAGGGTCTTTTCAGTCGTGGCACCAAAACTTTGGGACTTTCTCTTCCCATTTGGACTACTACCCCAATAACTGGGCCCGCCCTGGTTCTGGCATTATGTATGTTTATATATAATAGAAATTTTATTCAGACTTTAAGTGCTGTTTTAATGTTTTTCTGTTTGCTGCCTATTTGAATGGAAGTAAAAACCAAGACGGGATCACAGGTATCCATATAGGAAATGCAACAAACAAGCAAACACTGTGATATAAATGACAAGAGCATTTAGCAAGAATCAGATTATATTTTAAAACTACTACAAGCTACTACTTAAATACATACAGTGTTCATGGAGAGCTCCTAAGCCAGCATAATATAGAAGGCTTCTGCACCTATTTAGAAGAAGACAAGACTGGCTGGCTCCTTTACAAACACTTGAAATGGAACTGGAAGTAAGTTATGAACATGAAAAATCTAAATAATATTCCATTCAGCTTCCTGTTGCTTTTCATTTAAAATACCATGGGTTGTTTTCCAGGATTATGTGGAAAAACATAAAGAAGAAGTTAAGCACTGGGTTGCTCCTAACAGAACACTGAACTGTAGCAAGAGGCCGACACCTTTCAATACAATAGGATCCCTCCTGAGGAAGACTGGGACGAAATGAGTTTATATCCGGATGCCCACTGAAAATAATGGACCTGTAACATTGCAAAGTTTTAAAATATAATACGATTCTTACTAAATGTTCTTGTCATTCCTATCACAGTGTTTGCTTGATGAACACGTGGAATTCACTGCCACAGGAAGTGGTGGTGGCTACAAGCATGGGCGGCTTCAAGAGGGAATTAGATAAGCATATGGAGCAGAGGTCCATCAGTGGCTATTAGCCACAAGGTATAGCTAGGGGCTCTGGGGCAAGTGATGCTCTGTCTTCTTGGTGCTTGGGGGGGGTGTCAACAGTGGGAGGGCTCCTAGTGTCCTGGCCCCACTGGTGGACCTCCTGATGGCACCTGGTATTTCCGGCCACTGTGTGACTCAGAGTGTTGGACTGGATGGGCCTTTGGCCTCATCCAACATTGGCTTCTCTCTGATGTTCTTATGTATGTTCTTATATGGAGCAGAGGTCCATCAGTGGCTCTTAGCCACAAGGTATAGATAGGGACTCTGGGGCCAGTGATGCTCTGTCATCTTGGTGCTTGGGGGGGGTCAACAGTGGGGGGGGATTCTAGTGTCCTGGCCCCACTGCTGGACCTCCTGAGGGCCCCTGGTATTTCTGGCCACTGTGTGACACAGAGTGTTGGACTGGAGGGGCCACTGGCCTGATCCCACATTGGCGTCTCTTATGCTCTTATGCTGTTTGCTGCATTTCCTATTTGAATGGGAGGGCAGCACACACATGTTTTCAATTACCCGCCCCAGCCCTGCAACGAAGCCCCAGCCAAGGAGCAGCTGTGAAGGACATCGGAGTCCTCGTTCCCCCCCCCCGGGCCCCCAGAAGGCAGACCAGCTCCGCTCGCCCACACCTCTTGTCGATTCAGACAACCACGCAGAGCCCTGGCCTTTGCGCCCGGCAGCAACTCCAGCCAAAGAATTCCCACCCAGCAGAAGGAGAAGGCAGAATGGAGAAACCCCCCCCCCTCCCAGTAGAGCCCACCCTGGGCTGAGGGCATCTGTTGTTCGGCTCTTCCGTTTCTGCTTCCACGAGG